GTAGTAGTAGTAGCAACAGTAGCAGTAGTAGCAGTAGTAGTAGTAGTAGTAGTAGTAGTTGCAGTGGTAGTAGTGGTAGTGGTAGTGGTAGTAGTGGTGGTGGTGGTGGTGGTGGTGATAGTGGTAGATATAGTAGGAGTAGGAGCAAGAGGAGTGGAGGAGGAGCAGGAGCATTAGTGGCGGCAGGCTGAGGCCTACCTCTCGGAAACCCTAAACCCTGAGGACCAGAAACAAAGCCTGGCTGACTCCCAGCGACGCCAAAATCCATTTTCGTGCTGTAATCAGCGGTTTAGGGGCTTGAGGTTCAACATAAAGATAACAAGATTCGAGCTAAGAGTTCCCACAGTGCCCAATCCTCTTGGTTAAGAAGCAATATGCCTGCTGAGTAGAATTTGGAACAATTAGCCCCATAACACTACTCTTTATGGGCACCTATGTTAATTGAGGCCCTATTCCTTCGCCCGCCCGGCCGACAACATCGCTTCTTTTTTTGCCTCGGGTGCCGCTAATAACTCAGTAGGAAAAGCGCCGCCACCGCGCTGGTTCACATGTCTCGACATATTCAATATACCGGCCGTAAAAATTACCAAGATGTGCGTTCTTGTGAAGTATGCGTATATAGGACTATAAGGATGATTAAATTCTGCAAGTATTCCGCTCTCGATATTAAGCGTTGGACGAAGGAATGACCAGGGGTGTAGGAGATGAGCATAGCTCGTTTCAGCCAGCTCCTCGTACTGCTGTTGGGCAGTGCTTTCAGCTAGGCAGCCGCTTCAGCCAACCCTCAGGTCCTCGTCAGGCTGGGTCTCGGGCAGGATGAGGTTGATCACCGTAACGAGGGCGGCGAAGAAGCCCAAGACAATCGGAAAGTTGTAGAGGGGGCACACCAGGAAGACAGGCTCGCAAAGCGGGTAGATGAGGTAGATCAGCGGCTTGGTGCACAGCTCCGTGCCGTAAAGTGGGCCCTTGGCGGGCACCGTTGCCTCAGCAGGCAAAGACGAGGCCATCGAGACGAGTGCGCCCATGGCTGCCGGCGCAGCTGCCTCCAGGCCCCTGTTGGTCTTGGGCTGCACGAACACGGGCGCCACGAACTGCCAGCATGCCATCAATGCCACTGAGGCCAGGCAGATGCTCATCACAAGGCTGCGTCCACGGCGGGCCATGATGACTTACTTTGTAAGCTATGGCCAATAATTAACACTCGGCTTGATAGAGACGCAGCTCTGCGCTAGCAGCAGCTAAACTTCACCATCACGTGGAATGTGCGAGCAAGACAAACTGGTGAATGGTCGAAGATAACTACTGGTGAAAACACTCGCATGCCCAGATTTGTCAAATACTGACTGCTTCCCATCCATGCCCAAAGGGAGATTGACAAACCCTGTCCTCACTATTTTCAACGAGCCCGTGATTTGCTGTTAGACGGTAGCTTCAGCTAGGCAGCCGCTTCAGCCAACCCTCAGGTCCTCGTGAGGCTGGGTCTCGGGCAGGATGAGGTTGATCACCGTGACGAGGGCGGCGAAGAAGCCCAAGACAATCGG